AGCAAAAAACCATATGAAAAGATGCTCAACATCATCAGTCAACAGGAAAACATCAATTAAAACCTCAATAAGATACCACTATATACGTATTAGAATTTTTAAAATCAAAAAGACTGACCATACCGAGTGTTGGCAAAGATGTGTAGCAACTGCAAAACTTGTATATTGCTAGTAGGAGTGTAAAATAGTACAAACACTTTGGACAACAGATTGGCAGTTTTTTTTTTAAAAGCATAAACATATAGCCATCACACGACCCAGCCCTTCTACTTCTAGATACTTACTCAAGTAAACTAAAAGCGTACGTCCACGCTTGTACACAAATATTCTTAACAGCTTTATGTGTAATAGTCAAAAACTGGAAACAACTTGATTGTCCAACAACAGGAGAACGAATAAACAAACTGTGGCATGTCTATAATACTATTCAGCAATAAAAAGGAACAAAGTACTGTTATATGCTACAACATGGATGAATCTCAAAAAAATTAAGATGAATGAAAGAATCTAGTAGGGTTCCACTGATATATATAAACTTCTAGAAAATGCAAACTAATGTACAGTGACATAAACAGATTAGAAATTGTTACCTGGGGAGGGAGAAAGTTGAGGGGGGAGAGGGAGGACAGAAGAAAGGAATTAAAAGGGGGAACAAGGAAACTTTTGGAGGTGATGGACATGTTCACTATCTTGATTTTGATGAAAGTTTGATGTAGACATATCAAAACTCATCAAATTGGGAAAAAAAAAAAAAAACCTTACCAAACTGTATACTTTCAATATGTGCAATTAATTGTATGTTGCCTATACCTCAACAAAGCTATTAAAATTCATTATTAGTATGATATTCTAGATGTCAGATAAAAGTTTTAGTTCACAATTATTTGGAAAATTGTCTTAAATCTCTTAAACCACTTTGTGCGTGTGTTACAGACAGTCTTTGTATCGAAAACAAAATGCTTCTTTTCTCTGTGCATTCACATGAATCTGAAAAATAAAAGGACAGTGTATTCACTTTTAACAGTATACACAGACTGCATATCAAAGGGCTAGCCTGAATGGGCAGATTCTATTGCTCTGAAAGGGGTGGGGAGTAAGTAACGTATTTTTTTTTTTATTTCTGTTATTCTAAGACTTACCTTTTAAGCGATATTTTTCATGACAAAAGGATTAAGGCCATCTAGTTTTCTCAATTTGATCATCTTTAAATTTCAACAGACTACTAGTTAATGTAAATATACTGAACAGACTAAAATTCATCTATATGATTAATAAGCAGTAGTTACTACAATGAAAATTATATGTCTGTGCATGTATGTTATCTCCACACATACGTTTTTCCTTCACATGTATGTCAAAAATCCAATAAATGTGTAAATTTCACACTGCCAGATTAAAATCCTGAACAATATTTAATTTTTCTCGTCTGTATGCTGAGTTGTGAACTGCATGATTAACAAAAATGATACAAATTTAGATAACAAGTTTAATAAATTCTTCTGAGAGATACCAAGAAAAGTATAAGATAGTGGTCCTTGTTTTCAGTAGTTTTAATCTTGAGAGATAAGATTACACTGCATAAAACAGCATTAAACAGTATAAAACATTCTGGAAAAATCAATGAGAATTTAAAGAGCCTGGGCAGGCCCTGAGTTTAACTTCATCATATCGGGAGGGTGTAGATATAAACAAAGATGAGAAAGAAGCCATCTAGGGAGGCTGTTAAGAAGGATGGATATGAACAAAGAGCACAGTGTGTTTAAAGGACAGCATAGGGATTAACCTCACTAGAGCCATGTAGATAAGCGATAGAAATTAAGACTGCAGAAGGAAGGTAGAGACAAATTACTCAAGGATCGAAAAGTAAGAAAATGTTAGAATATTCAGAGTGGCATATCAGAATTTATTGAATATTATTGTTTAGTCTAGGATTTTGAGCAAAGTAGTGTTTAGAAGGTCAGCAAAAAAGAGGAAGACCCTCAAGAGATAGAGTGACACAGTGTCTGCAACAATGGGCAAACAGCAACAACTGTGAGGATGGTACAGGACAGGGCAGTGTTCCATTCTGTTGTACACAGGGTCGCTATGAGTTGCAACTGACTGGACAGCACCTAACAACAACAAGTGTTTAAGATTAAATTTAAAACAGTATGCTGGAGACACTGAAGAGAGCAGGGAATCAAGAAAAGAAAGCAAAATTATAGCAATAAGGAATTGGATTAAGATGGGAAAAGTTGGAATGGAAAAGAAGGGATATACAGAAATAATATGTAATAGAATACAGTGCCTCTCAACCATACAAAATATGGAAAGGCATTAGTAAAAGGTGACTGAAGTTCCATGCCTGAGAACCCAAAGAAAGTGATATTATGAATAAGGACAGTAAAGAAGGAAAGGGAAGTTTGTTTAAGAGAAGAAAAAACAATGAATTCCATTTCAGACAGGTTGGATGTGGAGAAACAATGATTGACCCAAATGGAAACATGTAAAATGCAGTTGGAAAAATAGGACTAGTGCTCCAGTGAAAGGAATAAGATAAGAGTTTAGGAGTTGTTAGCACACAAGTGATAGCTAAAATCATGAACATCAAATGGAAAACATGAAAATTCAGCGGTGAAGATTATGATCATAAAATCTCAAATTATATTATGAAAATACAGTCCCTTAATTATCACCAAATTGATGTATAATACCACCATTTTTTCTAAATTGCACAAACACTTGATACTTGGCTGCCATACCAGGACTAAAATAAATGTTAATTCTACTATATTGTTTCACATCTCAAAACTGCAGAAACAACTGACTTCTTCAGTATAATTCAAGGGCAGTCAATTCAAATGCCAGGAGGATAAACTGTATGAGTGAAAAAGGCCAAGTATAAGAAAAAGGAAGTGGATGAGAGGGTGCAGGCCTCATCTAAAGACGGTTCCTCTAAGCAGCTCCAACCACTGTGTCATGCAGGAATATGGGCCCAGCATAACCAAATCTGATTTTTCAAAACAAACTGGAAACCCAATTATTATTCAAAAATGTCCTAGCTTTTAGATGATAGCAACAAATTCAAAAATTTTTAAAACACTGTGCAGACTGAACAAATCTATAAACTGGATTAGGACTTCAGGAGGCAGTCTTTGTCCTAGGGTAGGAATTGTTCAATAGCCTAAATCTAATCAGTGTAAGGAAAAACTGTGAAAGACTTTGGAATTTAGTGAATACCCTGGCTAGCTCATCCATCCAGTTATCTCCACCTTTGTCTGTCTTTGACTAGGAGATTTTATAATTCTGAAAGAGGCAGAAATTAAAACAATATAATGCAAATAATTCCTACCCATAGAAATGTATCTGACAGAATACAGTGATTATTGCCTGTGAATATCCCTATGTATATTGACAAGTTTTCCATCCATTTGTAAATTTAATATTCTTAACCTGATTATAAATGTGTAGTGGTACTTTGAATTCTTTTATGAACCGGCTGTAATACTTTGCTGGTTCCCACATTAACTAACGAGTTAAGTAAAAATCTGGGAAAGATTTCATACTTGTATGAGAGATACGGTTTTATTCTCTTTTGAAAATTATCCTTTAATATCAGTCAGACTACCAATTAGGACTACTCAAAGATTTCCCCCCTGCTTTCCTAGGTGTTTTTTTTTTGAAAGTATAATGGGTAAGAAGTACAGACGTCTGAGAGGAAAGCAAGGTATGACATCCAAAGTCATGTCATAGGTAGTGCCACATAACAGTTTGAAAAATAATTAATTAAAAGCATTAACATAAATTTTATAATTTTATTTCCACCTCTCTGATTTATGCTCAAACCAAAAAAAAAAAACACCTCACAAAACAAAAAACCGAGTCTTGGATCTACAGCTATCTTTTTCAAACTGCAGGCCCTAATGAACATTTTAGTGGAAGTTAACTCAGTTTAGTGGGTCAAAATCTGGATTTTTTTTTTTTTAATGAAATGAAATAGAAAAAAAAATTATTTGAGATGATCATATATAATAACTACTATCTCATGAACTTTTGTGTTGGAGTATGGGTATGTGAGTGCATGTGGTTGAGTGTTTGAGAGAGAGAGAGAGAGAGTGTGTGTGTGTGTGTGTGTGTGTGTGTGTGTCCGCAAGCACTGGGTCATGATATGAAATGTATTTCTTAGTTTGGGTTGCAGTCAAAACAGTTTCAAAGTCACTAATCATACTTTGGTACTCACATACCTCCTAAAATAATTTTGAGAAATTATGTACCCGCTTGCACTTTTAAGTTAACATCTAAAACTTCCAATTATAAAATTATAAAGGATGTTGTTTCTAACATATTATAAGTATTTATATGCTGAAACAAAACCACTATATCATCCTTGAAATTTATCTAATAGAATCTAAATGCCATAACATTTTAATACCCACTATCAACCATGTAAAAAATACATGAACAAATGCTTCCCCAACAATAGGAAATCTGACATTGTTCTTTTTTTCTCCTTGAACTCATATTTTCATTCCACTTCCACTGGTCTGGAGTAGCTCCATGATGCCCTCAGAACACACTAGTGCAGCATTTACAATATATCCAGATGAATACGAAGTAGTGATAGCAACCTCATTTTTAAGACAGCCTGTTTTTTGGAGCCCTGGTGGCGCAGTGGTTAAGAGCTGCAGCTGTTAACGAAGAGGTCGGCAGCTGAAATCCACCAACTGCTCCCTGGAAACCCTACTGGGGCAGTTCTACTCTGTCCTGTAGGGTTGCTATGCATCAGAATTGACTCAATGGCAATGGGTTTTTTTTGGTACTCTAATTTAACACTCCAAACCTTTTCACTTGTCAGTTAAATGGAAAATGACATCATGCACGTATATAACAGCCAATAAACACTGAAGTTACATGATGTAATAAAACTTATTTCCCTAATATGACCACATAGATGCTTTCAGCAAATTGAGAATTTAAACATGTATTATTTTTATCCATAACAAAACATCTAAAATACTTACAAAGTCAGAAGATCCCCAACTAGAAGTTGATGATTATACAGCATGAGGCAAGAGAGGATTCTGGAAGAGGACAGAGGAGCTCTGAGAACTTCACAGTGTTAGGTTGAGTAGTCTGGATTCAGGAGGATAAATGGCGTGTAATCTCCTAATCAAGGTATTCTTGGTACAATTAACAGGGCCACTTTAAACCAGCTTAAACTTTTAAGTCAAAAAGAAACTGATAAGAACCCTTCTGGGTTGGCTTCATTAACTCAAGGGTTACTGACCTCCTAAGGGACTGGGATCATGAATGGGAAAGCTTCCAGAATCCAAGCTATCCTCTGGTCCTTTATGAGACCACTTTTTCTACAAACAGGTGCATCTTGCTTTATGGTGTACACAGGTCTACATGATTATTCCAGGCTTTGTGAACAGCTCTTGGAAGAATGTACTTGCCAACTTCAGTCAGGTGACGATATTTGGTTCAAACAACTGTGGTGGGGAAAGGGACATGGGGAGGATTGAGTACAAACATGGCTGCTAGGGGTTCAGTGCATTGGAAAGATACCCCAGGGGGTTGCAGTAATCCACACCCCTTGAGAAACTCCTCCTTACAAAATAGAAAGTCAAAAAACATGTTTTTGTTAAGCAACTCAGATAATCAAGAGAAACAACTCCCAGTACAATCCATCTAAAAGTGCTGCTGGATTAAATATAAAGATTGTCTTTTTTTAATGTATGGCTGAGTAGACAAGAGAATAAAGAAATTTCACAGAAGCCAGAAAGGACAGACTCTACAAATCCACAGAGGTATGCAAGTACTAGAGCTAACATTACTCCTTCCGGCCATATGCTGACTCTAAGGGCTAATAGCCTGGATTTTAATGATCTATGTCCCACAGCGGGTGGGGACAAAGCCTGGAGTCCAAACATCTTAGTAAGAAGGAAACTTATTTTAAAAGTTCCCAGAAACATGAATTCATAATCAAAAATTACTACAGACATGAAGAAACAGGTCAAAGCGAGGAAGAGTTAGCAGAAACAAAAAACTACAGAATTGGACCCATGAAGACTGTAGGTACTGGAACTAGAACATAAACAGACATGCTTTATATTCTGTAATAGATGAAGAAATGAAAGAGTGACCTGAAAGTACGGCAAAAGAATGAGAAATTATCGATAACGAATAATATTTGAAAAAAGAATCAAACAGAACTTCTAGAAATAAACAAACAAAAAATAAAGTACCAACATTAGAAAGAGCAAATGAGACACAACTGCATAAAGAATTAGTAAACTGTAAGATACAAAAAATTATCCAGAATTCAGCACAAAGAATGAAAACCACTGAAATTATACAACAGTAGTCAAGAGAGACTGAGAAGGCCCTTCTTACATCTAAGCAAAGTTCCAAAAGGGGTTTGAGAGAATGGTAAAGAGGAAATATTCAAAAGGATAATGGTTGAAAATGTCCAAGTATAGATAAAGACAATAATTATCAGATTCACAAAGACCAATGTTGTAGACTGAACTGTTATGTTGAAGTCTTAAAAAGTTATATAACTGTAAATTTGATACTGTTTGGAAACGGGTTTCCTTTTGTTATGTTAATAAAGCTATACTGAAATAGAAAAAAACAGTTATAGTAGAGTAGATTCTGTCTCGTAGCGACCCCATGTGTGTCAGAGTAGAACTATGCTCCACAGAGTTTTCAATGGCTGATTTTTCAGAAGTAGATTACCAGGCCTTTCTTCTGAGGCACCTCTGGGTGGACTTGAACCTCCAACCTTTCAGTTAGCAGCTGAGTGCTTAACTGTTTGCATCACCCATGGACCCATTCTTAGGGGCGTATTATAAAAACGCAGAGTAGACACAGGCACACGTGGGGGAAGACAGACGCCAGGTGAGGATACATCTACAAACAGTCAAAGAATGCCAAGAAAAGCACAGAGCTACAGAAGCTGAAAAGAGACAAAGATCTTCCCCTAGAGCTCCCAGAGAAAGCCTAACCCTGCTAACTCCCTGAATTCACACTCCTAGCCTCCCAAACTGTGAGACAATAAATCTCTGTTCTTTAAAACCACCTACTTGTAACATTTGTTGTTACAACACCACTAGGTAACTAGACACATAAGATATTCACAAGCAAGCTAAATAATAAGTCCACACCAGGACACATACAGTAAAACTAAAGAACACCAAAGACAAACTGACAAGCAAACAACGAGACATAAAAGTTTACAATGGAATAACATCACAAGAGCAATAAATAATATCACCAAAGCAGTTTTACAATAAATTAACTGTTCCTTTAGAATTGTATACCACAGAAAGATAGTGAAACTATCTTTTGAGAACTAGTATGAAATATATTCAGAAAAACACAAACTGACAGTTTACTACCACAGATTCTCACTAAAGAACTTCTAAGGAAGGTACCTCAAAAAAGGAAAATAATTCCAGAAAGGAGATTGAGATATAAATAGTAAACAAAGAAAATAATAAATATTTGGGTAATTCTAAGCAAATATTAAGGAGCTCTGATGGCCCAGTGGTTAAGCATTTGGCTGCTAAACAAAAGGCTGGCTGTCTGAACCCTCCCAGCTGCTCTGTGGGATAAAGACCTGGTAATCTACTTCTGTAAAGATTACAGCCTAGGAAACCTGATGGGGCAGTTCTCCTCTGTCACATACAGTAGCGGTGAGTCAAAAATCGACTCAACGGCACCTAACAACAACAACACGACAATTAAATATTAACTACACAAAACAATAATAATGTCTAATTTGTGGAGTTATAAGAAATCAAGATAGAACTAAAATTCTAGACAACAGCATAAAAATTGGGAAAAGGAAATGACGTAATAGGTTCTTGTCTTGACCCAGAGTAAAGTAACTTTAGACTTTATAAGTTTAATATGCATGTTAAAACTTGTAGGATAGAGCAACGGAGAATGAAGAGAACAGGATACAAGGAAAAGATTAGTCCAAAGGACTAATTGTCCACAGCTACCAAGGCCTCCACCGGACTGAGTCCAGTACAGC